TTCAAAGCTTTTTTAAAGTATAAAAATGAGCTTGAACAAGGAACAATTTTCAAAAATAAATTCAATGATATGTAACTTTGCTCAGAGCAATGGAGATACAGTAAATGAATGCTTTAAATGTGCACCTTATTGAATCAGGAGTTGTGCATGGATGTTTTACATATAATTGGTCCCTCTGTGTAAATTGTGGCCTCTTTTTTTCCCCCATATTTAAAATAAAAATCTTTAATCTGACACTGCATTACAAAGATTTGTAAGGAGGAAATGGAAGTTTGTTTCACTTTCAGTGTGTTCAACATGAAAGTGAAATCAGTCATTCTTTGCTCCAGGTTCACTTAAAATCTCTTTCAGTTTGAATCACTCATTTCAAACAGGAATGTACATGTAGTCAAATCATACAAATTTCACAGTAAACCATTTAAATCTCAGAAATGCATGTTTTCCAGGAAATCTCCATTTGTGTACACCTACCGGCTCGTTCGCACCACCGACGGCTGGAGTCCTCAGATGGAGACATCAGCATCCAGATCGCACATAACATATCACAAACATATAAACAAGGAGGTTATTTGTGGTTTGTGTGTTTGTGTTTGTGTTTGTCAGCAATTAGGCCTCAGACAGCAGAGCTTTAGGACACTGGAAACACTGATAAAGAGCTACAGAGAAGGTTCAGCCTCTGGTGTCCCAACAGTCCCCCTCACACACCCACTGGACAGAACACAGCTACAGTACATCAGTACTGGACAAGGTATGACACACACATACACACATGCTTTCCTCGGTATGTTACAACATAAAGTATTTTATTTTGTGTCAAATGAAAAACACACACATTTTCTTCAGCATGATATGATATAAAGTATTAAAATGTTCTTTAATAATTAAAAACTCATGTGTATATATTTTCTTCAGAGTGTTAAGATGTAAAGTGTTTTATTTTATGTCGAACTGAAAACACATACACATTCACACAAACGCAGATCACGCATGGTCGTGTTTTTGGATCATCAGTTTCCTTTTGCAGCGGTTTGTGGTGACTCATGACCTTCTCACTCAGTTCTCTCACAGTTCCTGTGGTTTCTTCTACAGAGTTGTCCTACATGGAAATGAGCAGCTGAAGCAGCTGAAGCAGCTGAAGCAGCTTCGTCTGTTAAGGTTGTGCTTTTAGACGAGTGGACCAATGCTGTTAATCAGGTGGACAAACTGAAGATGAGAGAAACATGCAGAATGTGGCAAACCAGGGATCTGCCATATTTTTGGTGTTTATTTTTTTTATCTTTATTTGTGTCACTTTAATATCAGTTTGAAATTTGATGCATGGCTGTTTTAAACCCGTGGCTGCAGACCTTTCACCATGATTCACATGTGACCCACAATAATGTGATCACTTCAACTTAACTATACTGATAGAGTTCAGCAAGACTATAATTTCCTCTATGTGTGTCAGAGTCTGCAGCTCACTGTAATTGTTCTTTTGCTTTGTTGTTTTCAGTGATTCTGTTCATTGGTGCTGTAATATTTTATTCTTATTTATAGTCTGTGCATTTGTTGCTCTGTGGCCAAACCTGGTTTAGTTTGTTAGGTTCATTCAAGTCAGGCTTATTACACTTTTGAACCATGGAGGTTATCCTATTGGTCTGTTGGTAGACGACACTTTATCTTTCTTATTATATAAAGAGGAAGTCCCAGCCTAAAAAAGTCCAACTTTCTTCAACTTTTATACACACATTTCTCTTAGTTAGACAACAAAGAGCTCTCTGAGACAACATGTAGAAGAGTGTAGGTTGTCCTTGAGGTGGGTGAGAAGCACTTCAAAAGCAGTCAACATAGTTTGTTGCGATACTAAGCGAATCTAACTGCAGTTTCATGTTTAACGGAAAGATGGTGTAACAGTGGTGTTCTCACCATCTTCTCATCTAACCCTCTGCCAGAAAGCAAATGAGCAAATTTCATAAAATGTCAAACTTTCGCTTTTATTTATTCTCCATCTTATTTATTAAATGCTGCTTTGAGGCTTTTTTTTTTTTACAGTTCCCTTAGTGTTAACATTTGTCTAAATGCTGGATTTTAGCTTTTGCTGATATCATCCTGTAAACAATGAGCTGCAATAATAAAGACTGCAAACTGCTGTACAAATAAAGGTTGATAAATTAATAAATGAATGACTGGATTTTAAAAGAGCAGATGATGCATCGCTGAACTTTATTACACACACACACACACAAAAAGGTACATACATTTTGTCAAAGTGAAAAGCTGCTGGTAGAGGTGTGTGTGTGTGTGTGTGTGTGCGTGAGAGAGAGAGTTTAAAATCTATAAAAGAATCTGCAAATGTGTTCTGAAATGTATGAAATGAAAGCGTATTGAGATTTATACATGTATAGACAAAGTTGTAAATGCATAAATATATCTGTGAATATGTAGACACGTCTGCAAATGCGTGTGGACATTTGACCATATTAAAAAACTTTTTGTTCACCCTGAGCTAAGGTGTGACAAGCGAAACGGCCAACAAGGATTGAACCATATTAAAGTGTAAACCTAAGCTAATGCTCTTGACCTTGAGACCATTGAATATAAGGCTGTAAAACACACGACCCCCCCAAAAAGGGGGGGGGGTAAACACTGTCAATTTGAAAGTGTCCCTCCTGTATTGCTTTTAAAATGTCTTTCAAGGGTTTTCCTCTTTGTCCTCCACCTTAGTGATCACCTCCTCAGCCTTAGATTGCAGCATAGGATGGAAGAACTGCAAACACAACGCAAGAAGCAAAACAATGGCACCCCTCGTTCATGAATGTGGCTTGGTAAGTGACTGACATGATATGAATATGTGTGCGAACAGTACTTACAATGAACGTTTCATTTTCTTCCAGAAAATATATGTACTTTGGCGGTGGGCAAGGAATCGGAGGAAACAGAAGTTTAGACAGCCTAAAACACACACACACAAACAGACTGCAAAGTAAGTTAAGTGTGTTATGTTTGGTGGTGACTTATCATAGAATAACAACACCCACCCAGCCCTTCTCATTTCTTTTCTTTGTTTTCTCGCCTAACTAGACTGTGTCTGCTGACATAAGTATCAGCTCAGACTTCTGTTTGACACTGATTATTTTCAAATTCAAAATAGAGGACACACTTTCTGCATCAGGCAGTGAGGAGTCTGTGAGGAACTGTGTTTATATCTGGATAAGTGCGTTTGTGTACCTCTGATGGTGCACCAACAGCAGCAAAGCCAGGAGGATCATGGGTATTCCCAATGAAATCGAGATGATCAACAGCATGTTGAGTTTATCTGGCTGACTTGACGATTCCACCGCTGCAAACAGATGCACACATGAATATTAAGATCACTGTGTCAGTAAATGTAACATTAGCGTAATCGTCTGTCCAGTTATCAAAAAATCAAAAAATGAATAAAGATGATGACAATAAGTCGACACCAGTTTTTGGTTCAAATCTACTGTGACATCACTCACTGACAGTAGGACTCCATTCACTCCACTGAGCAGATCCAATGCACTTGTCTGTCTTCCTTGTCCTCATCCTCACTCTGTAGGTGAAGGTAGGATCTGCACTCAGCTCTGTGTAAGACAGCTGGGAGCGCAGGTGTTTAGGAGGTTCCTATTATGAAAAGGGTTATCAGTTCAAAAACACAGTAGGTTTATATCATTTACTGTGTTCATAGAGAGCATACCATAGGTATGAATTAGTTCTTGTATTAGAAATATCAAAGAAAAATCAAGTAGTTTGCTACTTTGAGTTATTCATTTTTCATAAAACATTGTTAAAAAAGTGAAAAAAAAAGAATTCTTCCCCCTGATATGCATCCGCACCTAAATTTAAAGGGCACTTCCCAGTCTTGATCTCTCCAGCAAGCTAGAAATTTGTTCAGTAGTTTTTGTGTAATCCTGCTAACAAATAAACAAACCAAGAAACAGACACAGATGAAAACATAACCTCTTTAGCTGAAATAAATTGAATGCATAACTACACCAAGGCCTAACAGTCCCCTTACGAAACTACATTTAAATTCACTGTATACAGATTTTTATTTAGATCAGCACCAAATTGCACTCAAGATCCATGATTTCTTTTATCTAAGAAACCTACCAAAATGTTGTAAAATGCCCTATCTCACAATGTTGAAGAAAGTGAAAAAACAGTCCTAGATCTGGTCCCTGATCTGGATCCACACCATGACTTAGGTCTTGGCCCATGCCCTAATCCAACCTGTAGTTTTTGCGCTATCCTGCTAACTATAAAATGGACAAACAAACAAGATGAAAATATTCCTCAAACATACCTCCACCAAAAATAATTGGTTCACAAAATCCGAGCCATTATTCAGATCCACATCAAATTTCACCTGCTCATAGGTATTAGCTCTATACATGTGACTTATTTATTTTAATCATGATCCATATATTATTCTCTGAGTAATTAAGGAAAATGTTGAAAAAGCAATAATCTCACGATGTTGAAGACAGTAAAAAAATTCCTGGATCCGCCTCCTGACATGAATGTACACCACAATCTAGTGGGTTCGTCTTTGACCCAAACTACTCACTAACACTAAAAACAAGACTAATGCCGATGAAAACATAGCCTCCTTGGCCGAAGTAATAATTAACCTCCACAGTAATACTTACACACACACACATGTACTGTACCTGGTTATCCAGGTCTAGCTGGTATTCAAAGCAGGGTGGTGGGTCATTTTTGGGTCTTCTCCACGTCACCAACAGGCTTCCATCTTTGACTGCTGCAGAGATGTTTGAGGGTGGGGACAAAACCTCTGTGGCGAAAAAACACATTCACTGTAAAGTTCAGCTGTGGATTATCCTAACATCAACCTTCGGTTTACTAAAATAATGATTTTATCCCTCAACATTTACTGCATACAGTGCCATTAAATATTCTACATTCATTCATGCTCCCCAGAGGATATATATTCATGACTGTGATCCTTTGATATTTCCTCTAGCACCACAGTGAAGTTGACATTTGTAGTTATGAGTAAAATGCCTTAACAGCTACTCTCTCTAATCTGTCTACAGTGTCTAATTTAAACACTGCTAAGACTTTCTTACTTGTGCAGCTTCAACATTTAAGAAGATGCATCTAGAAGGAACATGCCTTGCATCAAAATAATCTGATTTGCTAATTTGATAGCTGTTAACCAATGTCTA